AAGAACGGACGACGATGACGATGCCGACTGCTGACAATAGACGCCGTCGACGACCAACGACCGTTGACGACAGACGAGGACGACAACGGACGACGACGACGACGGCGACGACGACAATAACGACGACGACGACGACCACGACGACGACGAAGACGACGACGACGACGACAGCGACGACGACGACGACGACGACGACGACGACGACGACGACGACGACGACGACGACTGACGTCTGACGAATGGCCACTGATCGCTCACGACTGACAACGGCTGCGGCGGCGACGACGACGACGACTGACGACGAGTACCGTTGACGGACCGATGACCGACGTCGGCTGGTGACTGACAGAGACGATGACGACCGCCCTGCTCGGGGAACCCTGCAGGCGATGCCCGGGCCGACCGAGTTCGTGGACTTGGCTGGCGGGGACGTGGACGTCTCGGTTGAGGTCGAGGACGCCGCCACGCTGGCCTCTCCCTTGCGAGCGCCGCCGTCGGTCGTGGGTCGTCGGTCCACCGTCGCCGTCGGTCGTCGCCGCCGCCGCCCGCCGTCGGTCGTTGCCGTCGGTCCGTCAGTCCGTCGTCGTCGTCGTCGTCGTCGTCGTCGTCGTCGTCGTCGTCGTCGTCGTCGTCGTCGTCGTCGTCGTGGTCGTGGTCGTCGTCGTCATCGTGGTCGTCGCCGACGTCTTCGTCGTTGTCGTCGTCGTCGTCGTCATCATCATCGTTGTCGTCGTCCACGTCTTTGGTCGGCGTCGTCGATGTCGTCGTCGTGGTCGTAGTCGGTCGGTCGTAGCCGTCGTCGCCGATCGATCGAGAATCCACGGCGGATCGATCGAGCGAGATCTTTTCGTGGGCCGCCCTCGGGCAGGAAGGGATCCGTGGCGAGGAACTGCCCCCGCGGGGAAGGGCTCGAAACCCAGAGTGGCCCTGGTCGCACGCAAGACAGGAGCGGCCCTTCGCTCGAGTGACCCCTGGTGTGCGGCACGCTCGGGGTGCGCGGGGAGGCCAAGGCCAGGCGCCCAGGCCGCCGTGGTCGAGGCGCACTCCGCGGTCGGCAAGCCGCGCGCTGAAGCCGCATCGTCCAAACATACCTTCACTGTGGGTGCGTCGGGTGATGCCAGGGGTCCAAGCATACCTCCTCCTCCTCCGCCTCCTCCTCCTCCTCCTCCTCCTCCCCCTCCTCCTCCTCCCGCTCCTCCTCCTCCTCCTCTTCCTCCTCCTCCTCCTCCTCCTCCTCCTTCTCCTCCTCCTCCTCCTCCTCCTCCTCCTTCTCCGCAGGGGCGATGCGTGCGCGCGCGCTCAGCAATCTCGTAGTATGTGCTCGGCGGCGGGCGCTCTGCGGCCACGGTGCTTCGCTAACGGGTGCACTGCTGGATGGTCGCGCCGTGCGGTCGGGAGCCTCGGCTTAGCACGTCGGGCCGCTGGTTCTGGCCCGCCGCGCTTCGACGCGACACGCTATCCTCGCCCCAGTCCCCAGGCGTCGACCTCCCGAGCCCTTCCGAGCCTCCCGCCCCGCGGAGCTGAGCGACACGCTGTCGCTATCCCTCGTGGGTCCCGCCCCTCTTGGGGCCGTCTTGGGGCCCTCTTGGGCGCCTCTTGGGCCGTCTTGGGGCCCTCTCTGGGCCGTCTTGGGGCCCTCTTGGGGGGCCTCTTGGGCTGTCTTGGGGCGGTCTCGGGGGCCTCTTGTGACGTCTTGGATCGTTGGGGGCTTGAAAAGTGGAGAACCCAACGAGCATTGAAACACCTACGACAAATATCTGATTTTGGCTTCTCGGGGCCCTCTTGGGAGTGCTGTTGGAGCTCTCTTGGGGCGTCTTGGCGGCCTCTTAGGCCGTCTGGGCGGCCTTTTCAGCCGTCTGGGAGCAATCTTGGACGTCTTGGTCTAATCCTTCGGCGAGTCGAAGCCCTCTTTGATCGTCTTGGGGGCCTCTTGGGGCACTTCTGGCCCGCCTTGGGGCCCTCTGGAGCCTGAAAAAGCCATGCTGGAACAGAGGAGTGGACCTCAACGGTGTTTTGGCGATTTCGTGGGCCGTTTTCGTTTCGATATGGTTTTGCAGCAACGGCGAATTCAAGACAAAACGAGGAACAACGAAAACAAAACGAACACGCCATGCCGGAACATGCCGGAACATGCCCCAGTCCCCACATGCCACGCTGGGGGTCCCAGAGGGCACGCTGGGGCCCAGGGAAGATTTGACACTTTCGGGTCCGGGCCTCTAACAACTCTTCAGGGCTGAGGACCGGTGCTCAGGAGATCGAGGTAGGGACCTGGGGACACTCCACTTCGTGCCTTAAGGGGCACGGTGGCGGGTTCTTCGGAAATCCGAATTCAATAGCAATCATGCTGCATGCTGCCAGAATGCTCAATGTTTGGAGGAATTACTTCATGCATCCGGGGCCCGATATTCTCTTACCCAGACCTCCCGCCCGAGCATGTTTTGCCAGCACCTCTTGCGAAACACTTTCCTCACCATCTGCAGTGCCTATTTTCTCCCACCCCAGAAAAGATGCCCAGGCGAGTTGCCCTGATCAGGGATGTGGAGGAGCATGCATAATGATCAAGGGCTGGGGAAGCCGTCATACCTCAAGCGGGGGAGGATGGAAAGAGCAGAAGGAGGAGGACGAGGAGGAGGAGGAGGAAAAGGAGGAGGAGGAGAAGGAAGAGGAGGAGGAGGAGGAGGAGGAGGAGGAGGAGGAGGAGGAGGACGAGGAGGAGGAGGAGGAGGAGGAAAAGGAGGAGGAGAGAGAGGAGGAGGTGGAGGAGGAGGAGGAGGAGGGAGGAGGAGGAGTGGGATGCGGAGGAGAGGGAGGGGGAGGGGGAGGGGGAGTGAGAGGCAGCGGGGGAGGAGGGAGGCGGGAGAAGGATGACTAGACGGATGATGCTGCTGCTGATGATGATGGTGGTGGTGTTGTTGATGATGATGATGGTGGTGGTGAGGAGGAGGAGGAGCAGGAGGAGGAGAAGAGGAGGAGAAGGAGGATGACGAGGAGGGGGAGGCCGAGCAGAAATGGCAGAGGTCTTTTGGATGCTTCTCGGAGTCTCTTCGGATGTCGCTTGAGAGCTTCTTAAAGTCCTCTTGGGGCATCCTGGGGGCTTCTTGGCGGTCCCGTAGGCCTCTTGGAGCGTCTTGGGTGTCTCGGGGGGGCCTCTTGGGGCCTCCTGGGGGTTTCTTGAGAGCCTCCTGGGGACCTCTTAAGGGGGCTCTTGGGGACTCCTGGGCGCCTCTTGGGGCCCTCTTGGGACACTTTTTGGCCATCTAGGAGGATTTCGATCAAAGAAGCGGGGGTGCAACATTAGGATTCCCCCCTCCCCAGGAGGCCAAACTGCGGTCAGCATCTTAGTACAATCAATGGTTTCTGCCTTCTCGCCGAGGCGGTCTTGGATGCTCCAAGCGGTCGCGACTCCAGACCCAGAGGGGGGGGGCAGGGGGAGTGGTAAATCCTTACCCGATTGGGAAGAGGGAAGATGGATGAGGAACCGTCCTAAACCACTCACGCCCAGAAGGCTTGTGGGATCTGGGGCCTCCTTTGGGCCGTCTTTGCAGCGTCTCGGGATGTCTTGGGGCTCGCTCTCTTCGGCCGTTCGAGGGCCTCTTGGGGCGCACTTGGAAGTTTCTTGGCGCCTCTTTGGGATCCCTGTGGCGCCGCTGCAGGGGCCTGCTAGGAACCTCCTGGGGCCGTCCAGAGGCCCAGGGCGATGTGGAAACGAGTGCTCCACTCCTGGGGCCGCCCGAGGCGATGCGGAAACAAGGGCTCCACTCCTGAGCAAAAGCGGGAGCGTCGTTGTTGTAAGGGGGCTGGTTTGTGGCGCCAAGGCGCAAGCGCCATTCCTGAATAAGAAAGCATCGGGCTATCAACCAGGAGCGATGATATTGTTGGGGTGTCACTTTTCGTCGGCGAGCGAGAGCGCCAGTCTTCAGTAGGAAGCGTGGAAGCATCGAGTGGGAGCGTCGTTGATGTATGGGGGCCGTTTTGCGGACCCAGTGCAGAAACTCCACTCCTGGGTAAAAAGCGAGGATGTATCGAGCAGAAGCGTTGGTTTTGTTGGAAGGTCAGTTTTCGGCGGCAAGCAAAAGCTCCAGGCTTGAGTAAGAGGAGTACCTTGCGGGAGCGTCGTTGTTGTAGGGGGCCGGTTTGCGGATCCACGGCGGGAAAGTATCAAAGCGGGGGGGGGCGGTTTTGCTGGAGGGACAAAAAGCGTGGAAATGCTGAGGGGGAGCGTCGTCGTTGTAGTGTGTCTGGTCTGCGAGCCCACAGCGCGAACGCCATTTCTGAATAAATCAGCGAAGAAGTCTCGAGCGGGAGCGCTGGTTGGGCACTGGCCGTGAGTGAGCAGCGAGGAAGCATCGATCGGGAGCGCTGGTGTTGTTGGGGAGGCTGGTTTGGGCGAGCCCAGGAACGCTTGAGCGGGAGCCTCAATTTTAGAGGAAATGCAGCCAGTGCCGAGGCGAGAACGCCAGGGCGCGTTGAGGGGTCCAACAAAGTAGTTTATATTCAACAATAGCAAACAACCCACAACAATATTCCTCACCTCGGAAGCCCGCTTCAGGCATGCACCCAGTGATGGTGTAAGACCGTTTGGCTTCCTCACTTTTGATTGTGCTTCGAGCGATGAGCCGGGATACCCAGGGATCACAGGCACTCTTTGTGCATGGCGGCCGCTGTACGCAGTCGTGATCCGTAGAAGTCTCGAGGCGGGATGCCCAGGGGGCACCGGCGCGCTTTGGGCTTGGCGCCGGCGGCATGCAGGGTGTGCAACGCGGGTCGGGAGTTCTTTCCTTTTTATTTTTACAACCGCAACCTGTCGGGTGGGGAACAGTATAAAGCGAACACGGGGTGGTCAAGATGGTGTGTGTGTGTGAGTGTGTGGAATATGGTGTGTAGGTGGCACTTGTTGTTGATGGGGACGACGGGCCAGCGCGCAGATCCTCCGCCACCATCCGTGTCAAAAGCCGACGCAGCATCCAAAGTGTCACAGCCTTCGGCGCGGCGCGGCAGCCATGTCGGCGTACTATGGCGAGAACGCGAACTACCAGATCCCGCAGGAGCCGCCTCCCTCGGTTATGTACGCAATGCAGTCTGGAAGGACCACTGGTGCGGCACGGCTGGTGTGGGCCGAGATTCAGCGTTTGACGGACGAGGGGGTCACAATCCCAAGCAAGGGCGATGCCGCCAGCAACAAGCTCGAGTACCTGACCACACAGATGAAAGTGTATGATAGCATCATAGCAATCTTCTCCACCCGAGACTTCCTGATCTCGTCGATGGCGGCCAAAATGGACGATGCGCAGGTCGTAGTATCCGACAACTATTACCAGGAGATGACACAGACTTTGCAAGTCATGGAGAACGGCTTCCGACGCGTCGTTGGTCTTCCAGAGAGTTGGTATGTTAACCAGTACAAGAAGGCGATGGAGTTCGTCATGCGCCATCGAATAAAGATCGCTGGCCTAGGATTCGCTGTGGCTGGCGGGGCGGCTGGTGCTTGCCAGCTGGTTTACGTGCAGTACAAGATGTGCGTCTTCGCAGGGCTTACCGGAGCGTGCGCCAGTGCCAGCGTGATTGCTGGCGGAATCCTTGCGGCGGTCGTATACTTGATTGGCACCTTGGTGGTCAACGCGTTGCTCAGCGGTAGGGCATTCCAAAAAGGAATTGTTGGTTGAGGAATCGAAGGGTCGGCTTCTGCCCCTCGGCAGAAGCGGGCAAACACACCCGCAGAAAACTATGCAAATAAAGCAAGGGCGCCCTGGCCGGCGGAAGCTGGTGGCAGACCAGCGCTTGCCGGCGGAAGCAAGAGCTGATCTCTTAGGAGGGGTCAGCGCTCTGGAGACTCCAGAGCGCTGACCCGAGGACTCCAGACTGGAGTCCTCGGGATTTCTCGAGCCGGCGAGGTGGAGTGGAGGATGCCGCGACCGCGGCCGAGAAGGAGAAGCGGAATGCCCTGAACCGAATGGTCAAGGAGCTCAAGGGCATGTCTCCGGCAGAGACCCTTCAGCAGCTCAAGCAGCTCCGCATTGCTTGCAATGAGATCTTCTGCAGGCCCGCGTGCGAGCCAGACGAACGTTGCCTCATCTGCAGCATGGAGTTCGAGACTGATCCAGAAGCGCCAGGTGAAGAGCCTGTGCGTGCAATCAGGTGCACAGGCCGCCACTTCATGCACGAAAGGTGCCGCGCTGAATGGGTCGGCGAATCGGGGAGAATGGAGTGCCCAACTTGTGGTGTGTAGCAGTGGTTCTGCAGCCCTCCACACCTGGCAAGGTCATGGCGTAAGGCGCCTTGGACCGCACATGTGCGTGCTGCCTCGCAAGGACGCAGCGTGCGCACCGTGCTGGTCCTGCCCTTCTGCGGGAGCCCCTTCGTGCCCCTCCCCTTCCTTTTCCTCATGCCTAATCAGCTTGTGAATTCAGTAGTTTATAGGTTTTGGCTTTCAATGGGGACCTCCCGTCCTCTTTCCCCTCCCCATGTCGTCTGGCCATCATGTGAATTGAGTGGCATCAATTTTCCAGCAGCGAGAAATCAGTGGGGAGCTCTGTTCAGTTCACGGATTCGGTTTCCCAGGCCACCGTCCGTGTCACGAACTTGCCATTGGGAGGCTAGCTGGTACCGCGCTCCTGAGATGCCATGCGATTTTTTTCATCCAGGCTTGGTAACCGACTCCCCGTGGTGATGTCTAGCAGTGAAAAAGCCCGCGTCCAGCAATGCTGACCTCTGACCGCACGACACCGCGCATCGGTACCAACACAGAGTGATGGTGTGGTCTCTCAGGCCACAAGTGGGGGCACGTGGGTCACGAGCATATGAGCTGCTCTTGATCAGTGGCGGACGAATTAAGACTCCCTCACGGCCTGCCTGCGGCTTTGGCACGACTGCACCGCGTGGCTCGCCATATGATAAGCACTCGGCGAAGACTTTGAAATAAGGACCACATTTCTGGGCTCAGGACGAGCTCCAGTTTTCGGACCGCTTCTCAGATCTAGGTCGGGGACCTTCTTGCTTAAGCCGCGCGCTGCCGTTCCCCCAGGACATTCGAAATCGTGGTCTGGGACCTTCGGGCCGTCGACCCCATCCCCAGGACAGCACCAAGATGCCCAGACATCGTCAGAGCAGCAGCAGCAAACATCGGCCTTCTCAATCCTTGCTCTCAAGCAATGCGCTGGTTCACCCGAAGGGTACCGGTTTCGCGCCAAGTTGCTGCAATGAGAGACGGACCGATGCGATGAAGCACGCAAGCGTTTTTCTCGCCGCGCATCTTCTTGGATGGACCCCGGGCCCGAAATCGCCTCCCGACGCCGAAGCTGCGGAAAGCTCGCTATTTCCTCGGGTGGCGGTGCTGCGCGTCTGAACTGCTGTGCATGCCGATGTCGTAACGATCTTTTTTGCAGGCGAGGTCGGGCTCGAGCGACGCCCAGGAGATGGGGGCCCTTCAACGGTAGCGGAAGGGCTACTGAGCGCTGCTGAGGCTAGGGTGCTCGCGCCCGCGCAGTCGGGACAGCGGATTGCGCCCAGCCTTGCCGCCATCAGCAGCTTTACAGGTTGCGCCCAGCCTTGCAGTCGCCAAGTCGGCGCGCTTCCCGCGTGATCATGCCGAGTGGGTCGAATGAGTTGGCGGCCGATAGCCATTTGAGGCTTGGTATAACGTGGGCTGGTTTCTTGAAGTTTCTCCGCTGCGAGCTTCGATTTATCAACCCCGGGGACTTCTTGGTGCAGAAAGCAATCCGCAGGACCGACGACGAAAACTGGGTGACCCAAAGTTTTGGACCAATCTCGGAATCCCGCAAAGGGAGTGTGTGCCCCGTGGTGTGTGTGTGTGTGAGTTCGATCGGTTTTTGCACCGAACCGCCTAAAACAGATGCCCCCCAGCCGCCGGCAGCTCCCGAGAGTTGCCGATAGGTGGGGCATGCGGGTGGGCATCTGTTTGCGGCAGTTCGGTGCACCAGCGGATCGAACTCATGCTCCCCCTCAGGGTCCCCCCCTTGGTTGATCCCGACTATCAGAAGCCTAAAGTATGCGGCAAGCGGCTCAACTGGGTACGACGTGTGCGGCCACATTCGGTGCTGGTTGAAGGGGCGGTCGGCAGAGAAGCAGTCCGTTTGTGAAGTGCTGCGAGGTCAAGGAGGAGAGTGGACAGATCACATCGGCGACGCAAACGTCTTCTACTCCCACTTGCAGAAGCCGAGCATCAGCGATACGCTTGCGAGCATGCGGCTCGGAATGGACGTGCACGAGAGCAGGCTGCCGCCCGAGCAGGACTGTTATCGAAGGCGCCTGCGGCGAATCACCGCCGCCCCCTGCCTTTCAGGATACGCCCATGTGGCCAAACGTTTCGGTAAATCTTGGCCACGTTATTGGACCATGCGTTCGCCCAGCCGTTGCGTAAGCCTTCGGGGAACACGGGGGGGAGGAGGAGGATGAGAGAGAGGGAGGAAGAAAGAGGCTGAGGAGAATGATGAGGAGACTTCTTGGGAGCTTCTTGGGTCATTCTTGGGGCCTCATGGGATCTTCCTGGTGGCCTCATTGACGCCTCTTGTGGGCCTCCTTGGGCCTCCGTCTTGCGGCGTTCCTGGCCCGTTGGAAGCCGTCTTGGGAGCCTCCCTGGGCCGTCTTGGGGCCCTCTTGGGGCGCTTCAGGGTCGTCTTGGAGGCCATCTTGGGCGTCTTGGCGGCCTCTGGGCCGTCTTGAGGCCCTTTGGGGGGGCCGTCTTGAGAGCCTCTTAGGTTGTCCTGGGGCCATCTTGGAGGCCTCTTGGGCGCTCTTTGGGCCGACCTTGATGGCCTCTTGGGCCGTCTTGGGAACTCCTTCAAAAACCACGGCGAATCAATGATTTTGGCCTCTTCGGGTCTTCTATGGGTCCTCTTGGAGGTCTCTTGGGCTAGCTTCGAGGCCTCTTAGGGCTTGCTTGGGCCATCTTGGGTGCATCTTTGGGCCATCTTGGGCTCTCTTAGGCTGTCTTGGAGGCACCTTGGGGCCATCTTGGAGCGGAAGACCGTCGGAGTGCACATTTCCCCTGGCCTTCTGGGTGGCCAGCGGGATCGGCCGACGCCCCATGCGGCGTTCTTCAGAAAAGAACCGAAGACAATCAACAGTTCAGCACGCCAGGCACCCCTGCGATAAATCAACAGGGGGCAGCGGATCCAGCTTCGGACGGGGCCAGGAAAAGGATACATCCGTTCCAGAGCGTTCCAGAGCGCTTTCAGAAGGTTCCGGAACGCTCTGAGAAGGCCGCGGCGCCTGAGACATCCTCGAGACATCCTCCAGAGCCGCCGGATCTCATGGATTCCCGACTTACAATGGAAGCCCATGCCAAGAAACACCCTGCTTGCCTCCAAGGTACCCAGGGTTTCTTGGGTTTCGATGGTTTTGCTATGAAGGGCGTCACGTTCCCACACCACAAGTCAATGGATGTCCTGGGGTCTTAGGGTTGGGTTTCTTGTGGTCGACCTCCTACTGTTCGGGCGAAGAGAACTATACACATGCACCGATCCTGGCAAGGCCCGTCCTGACCCAGGATCGGTGCATATACCTTCCTGGCCAAGGTAGCGGGCGTATGCACTGATCCTGGGCTCAGGATGGGCCTGGCCAGAATCGGTGTATGTGCATAGCTCTTTTTCCTCTAACTGTATCCTCAGATGGATTTATCCTCGTCTTGGCTTCGTCTCAAAGTCAGCAGGGGGCGGCGGACCCAGCTGCCTGCGGCAGGCCCCGCCGCCGTGCCAGCAGCCCAGCGCTCTCGGAGGCAGCCTCGTTCGAGGGGCGACGGCTGGAGACGCACCGGGGGCCTGAGGCGGTCCAGCACTCGCTCTGGCCACCTGGAGGGGAGGAGCAAGGATCACCGAGCGCGTTCCACGACTCGCAAAGTGCCTACTCGCAAACGTCCAATGGAGCCTGCTTGCCTTGGTAGAATGGAGCCTCCTTGCCTCGATGCAGTGGCTCCAGGCCGTTTGCGAATAGCTACTTTGCGAGCAGTGGAACGCGCTTGTCGAAATAAGCCCCCCAGTCGCCACGGCTGGGCGCGGCTCGAAAACCGTCAGGTTCGGCCTCGGGAGGGGTCCAGGGGTTGATTGATTTTGAGCGGATTTGCCTTCGCCCCCACCCTCCCCTGTTGACCGATTGTCTCGGGCCCCCCCCTCCAGCGCAGACCCCCCGGCCGCTTCCGAGGCAACAGGAAACAGTAATATGCGGATGTGGAGTATCGGTCAGAACGCCCTCGCATTTCATGCTTCGGGCGTCTTGAACTTGGCTTGGATCATTTGAAGCTGTCATGGGGTAGAGTAGGAGCATGAAGGAAACGATGATGAGGAGGGGGGATGAGAAGGAGGAGGAGGAGGAGGAGGAGGAGGAGGAGGAACATAAGGAGGAGGAGGAGGAACAGAAGGAGGAGGAGGAACAAGGAGGAGGAGGAGGGAGGAGGAGGAGGAGGAGGAGGAGGAGGAGGAGGAGGAGTATTGTAGTGCACGAGTGCAATGTGGAACATCGTGATGGTGATGATGTTGTGAAGGAGCTCATCTGGGGCCCTCCTGCAGGGCAGTCTTGGGGTCCCTTGGGGCCCTCCTGGGCTGGCTTGGGGCTCTCTTGCGCTATACTGGGGGCCTCTAGGCCGTCTGGGAGGTCTCTTGAGGCCTTCTTGGGGCCATCCTCGGGCCGTCGATGTGCTCTCTAAGGCCGTCTCGGGCCCCTCTGGAGGCCCTCCTGGGCAGCCTGGGGCTCTCTTGGGGCCGTCCTGGGCCGTCCACGGGGCCCTCGGTGGGCCGTTTTGGGGCCGTCTTGAAAGATTTTTGGGCAATCTTGGGGCCTCTCTCCTCTTCCCTCCTCCCTCCTCCCTCCTCCCTCCTCCCTCCTCCCTCCTCCCTCCTCCCTTCTCCCTTCTCCCTTCTCCCTCCTCCCTCCTCCCTCCTCCTCCTCCTCCTCCTCCTCCTCCGCCTCCTCCGCCTCCTACGCTGCGCTCCTCCGCCTCCTCCTCCGCCTCCTCCTACTCCTCCTCGTCCTCCTCGTCCTCCTCGTCCTCCTCGTCCTCCTCGTCCTCCTCCTCCTCCTCCTCCTCCTCCTCCTCCTCCTCCTCCTCCTGGGGTCGGAGGTCTCTGATTCGGGCCGTCTGGAGTAGTAGCACCTGCTCAACACCTGATCTTTTCTTCGTGCCCTACGTGGCCTTTCTGTGGGCCGTCTTGACGCCATTTTTGGGCCGCTTCGGGGGCCAACTTGGGCCGTCCTGGAGGATCTCTTGGGTCCTCTCGGCGCAGCCTTGGTGGCTTGCCTTGGCCGTCTTGGAGGCTCGGGAGCGCGGGTCCAGTGTTTTTTGCTTGGGATCGTGGCTGATGGGCTTGTCTTCCACCACCACCACCACCATCAGTTGGAGGGGGAGGGGGTCCTCCTTCTGCGCCTCCTCCTTCTCCTCCTCCTCTTCCTCCTCCTCCTCCTCCTCCTCCTCCTCCCTCCTCGTCCTCCTCCTCCTCCTCCCTCCTCGTCCTCCTCCTCCTTCCCCCCTCCAACTTACGGTGGTGGTGGTGGTGGTGGACAAGAGGCCCATCAGTGGCCTCGTGGGCGTGCATCCATAACGTTTGAGTCAATAGTGGCCTCGGGAGCGCCGGTCCATAGCTTTTCACATCGGATCGTGGCTTCAGGAGCGCGTGGCCATTGTTTTTTTACAAGGGCCGCTGCCTTGGGAGCGTGGATCCATTGGTTCTTACCAAAAAGCCAAGGCGTGGGTGGCGATTCACGCAGCTGAGAGTCTTGAAAGGGGTGGCCCTTAGAAGACGACAGAGACCCTACCAGGCAGCACCTGGCATCATATCACGCCTCAGCGTGCCAGGCGGCCAAGCTGCGGATTTCTGGATCGATTATTTGTGCGTGCGGCAGTGTCTGCAGGACTTTGATGTGCACGTCATGCAGCTCGTAATCGCAAAGGCTCGTTGGACAATGGCAGAAATCGATCACGACTTCGAATATCCACTGCGCAGTTTCTGCGTGTTTGAAGCATGGGCAGCGGTTCACTCTGGCCGAACACTGCTTTGCATCACGCGCCCGCAGCACAGACGGTTTTTGGATAACACGCCCATTAACGCAGCAGTTGCCCTTGCACGCAAGTCTCAGGATAAACAGCAAATCGATAATTTGATCGCAGGAACCGTTGGGTTTCCCAGGCTCAATTCCGTTGTATCTGAGGCAATTTATGCTGCGCATCGGTTTCAGTTTCCTGTGCTGTATAACGATATGTTGCTTGCCAGTGTAACTCCAGACATATTGCGAAGGCCTTACGGACGGTGCCGCCGACCCTGCATGGCGACGACGACGACGACGACGACGACGGCGACAACGACGAGCGCTCTCGGGGGCATCTTGGGGTTGTTTGGGTGCCTCTTGGGAGGCTCTTGGGGAACGCTTGGGAGCCTCGTGGGGGCCTCTTGGGGCTTCCTGGTGGTCTCTTGGGGCCTCTTGGGACCTCTTGGGGGGCTTCTGAGGGCCTCTGGGGGCCTCCTGGGAGCTACTCAGGCCGAGAGCTCGAAATGACCGTTCGGGTCCCCCGTCTGGGCTCCCTCTTGGAGCCGTCTTGGGGGCCTCTTCGGCTGTCTTGGAGGGCTGTTGGGCGGTCTTGGGGCCCTCGTGGGTCGTTTTGGGACCCTCTTGGAGGCCTCTTGGGCCGTCTTGGGGCGGTCTTGGGGGCCTTTTGGTCTGTCTTGGAGCGTCGGGAAGTTGACAAGGCGAGAATGCCGAACTGTTTCAAAAACCTCAGGGAAATCTATGATTTTCGCCCCTTGGGGCCCTCTTGGAAGTCCTCTTGAAGGCATCATGGGGCGTTTTGGAGACCTTTTCAGCCGTCTGGAGGCTACTTTGGCGACTCTGACCGATACTTCGGCGATTCGGGGCCCTCGAATGTCTGTCTTGGGGGCATCTTGGGGTACTTTTGCCGCGTCTTGGGGCTTTTCTGGGCACCCGAACGCCCGGGGGGGTAGTCGTATCTGGGTGGCGACCCCCCCCCCCTGGGATCTCCCCCGCGACCCCCCCGGGACCCCCCCCCGGCGGGGAAGGAATCAAAGGGAAGGGGCTTCCCTTCTACTCAACTAAAACGCTGCTTAATTTTGCTGTGGCTGGCGCACTCGAGGAGGAGGGCCCAGTGAAAGTGGGGGGAGCGGCGACGGGCCTCTGGAAACAGGAGGGGGAGCGGCGAAGGCGGCGACGACGACGACGACAACGACCACGACGACGACGACGACGATGACGAGTTAAATGGAACAGCCTCTTCCACACGCCGACAGGGTCGGCGGATTCGAAGTGCATCCCAGATTACGAGAAGATGAGTATGTGGTTCAAATATTTCGCGTCAGGGAGCGTTTACAACAAGCAGACAGAGCTCGTCAGGCGGAAGCCGCACGAACTTTTATGATAAACGTTTTGCGTGTCCCCGCCAACCCACCCGGCGTTGAATTCCTCGCTCAATCCTGCGTGGTCAAACGTGCACTGGTCTTGGGTCTGGTGGCGTCTGGTCGCGTGCGTTCTAATCTGGTGTGGCTGGTCGTTTTGCCATTTTCCATGGACTGTGCTTGCACTTCGGGTAGTTTTTGGTTTCGCAAAGGAATTGGGTTGTGACCTGAGGACTTTTTTTGGTGGCCGCTGGGTAGTCGCCAGTGGCCGCCCCGTGGCCGCCCATGGCCGCCGGTGGCAGCCCTGTGACTGCCGTGGCTGCGCCGTGGCCGCGCCGTAACCGCCCAACGTAGTTCGCATCACATATATAGATTGCTCCACGGAGCTTGCACCACATGGCTTGCATCATACATCTTGCATCTCCAAGCTTGCACCACATCCATTGCACCGCATAGCTTGCGCCACGTGGATTGCACCACATAGCTTTCACCAAATAGCTTGCACCACATAGCTTACACGTTCACAGTGCAACAACTTACATCTTACTAATGAATTGGTTGGGCGTGTCCAGGAATTTCCACGATGCCGTCCGTGGCCGCCTCGTGACCGCCTCGTGCGCTGGGTGTGTTCGGCGAGGGTTCGCCACGATGCCGCCCGTGGCCGCGTTGGGGCCGCCTCGTCCGCCAGTGGCCGCTTCGTGGCCGCCTCGTGCGCTGGGTAGGTCCAGCGAGGTTTCGCCACGTTGCCGCCCGTTGCCGCTTTGTTGTCGCCTCTAGCTTGCACCACGCATGCTGCACCACAAAGCTTACGCCACATAGCTTGCACCACATAGCTTACGCATCCACAGTGCAACAACTAGCTGTTTGGGTCTAACGTGTGCTAATCTGGCCTTGTCGGTCAAGCTTGACAGAAGACCTGATCCTATCTGACTTTGGACGTATGGGTGTGATTTCTGCAGCGGCTCCAGTCTTCGTGCACTTGATCGGCCTCCACCTCCCAGCAGCCAAAGCCTCTACACCACTGCACTCCTGCCTCCTCTATCCTCCCCTTCTCCACCCTCCTTTCCCGCGACTCCCACACATTTCGAGGGTTGCTAAAGGTGCCCCTGGCCCAAGGCGTCTCCAGCTTTTCGCTCCATTTCGGAGCCCCTGGGACCCTCTGGGCCTCGTGAGGGGTGCTCTGGAGGCCGTGGGGGCCTCCTTGGAAATCCTGAGGGTACCTTGGGCCAGGGGCACTTCTGGCAACACCCGGACAGCTGTCTACCCGGGCCTCGTGTGCAGCCGCAGCCGGCGCTGGCAGACCCGTGGGCGCGCCGGTGGCTCTGCTCTCCCTCGGGCTGCTCTGCCTTCTGGGCTTCCCTCACTTCTCAGAGATTGATAGACCTCCTGCCGCGACACGTCGATTCGCGAATTGGCCGTTTCCGGTTCGCGAGAGGACGCCGCGGCTGTTACTTTTGCGGGCCCAGATCCGTCGGTTTCGGTCCCAGGTCCCAGGCTGTTTTCACTAATCGGGGGCCGCATGCGAAACCTATACCCTACCCCCCACGATTTCTGAGGGGGAGGGTGGGGTATAGGTTTCGCATGCGGCCCCCGAACTAAAAGGAGGTTTACTAAAGGGAGGTTTGTCCACCGCCGAACTCCGGCCCATGGTCCGCCTGCGGGTGGTCTTGCCTGGACGGGTCGGCTCTGCGGTCCTGCCCTGCAGCGGAGATCCCGGCCAGGAAACGCCCTGCTCGCCTCCAGGGTGCCCTGGGTCTGTTAGGAATTTCGATGGTTCTGCGATGGGAAAAGCGTGGCAAAACATCAGTGGACGTCCTGGGGTCTGAGGGTTGGGCTTCTTGTGGAAGGTTTCTTGTGGTCGAGCTCCTACTGCATATTCGGTGGCGCGCCCAGGGGAGGAGGTGAGAGGGGCGGGCCTTCCCGGAAGGCCCCCGGGGGCTTCTGGCCTTCCGGGTAGCTTTCTGGGTCTTCTCCAAAGACGCAGGGGGCTTCCCAGACGGCTTGCCGCCTTCTGATAAGGCCTGCCCCCTCGCCCTTCCCTCCTAGGCGCGCCGCCAATACATGGAGAGTCATACTATCGCATGATTTGATGCTACCCACTATGATCTGGTTCGCCCTATATCGGGTGCCCAGAGGAAGAGCGAGGCGGATCAGGAGCAGGGGGAGCGGTTGAATGAGAAGCACCCTGACGAATGTATGATAGCACAATTCTTTGATGGCACAATTCTTGGGAATCTCTCGGTCCTCGTCGGCCGTTTTTTGATGGGAACTGGTGGTGCAGTCTTGGGCGCTGCTCGGGAGTGTGGACTTCTTTTAGGAGCACATGGGGAGCGTTGGAGTCGTCTCTTGGGAGCCTCGTGGGCCTCCCTCGGCTGTCTCAGCGGCCCTTTGTGCAGTCGGAGCTCTGCGGGGATGTGGGCTCCTTTTGGAGCACGCTTGAGTCGACTCCTAGGGACCTCTTGCTGGCTTCTTGGATGCCTGACGTCTCCGAGGCGTCTTATGCTGTCCTGGGTGTCTTTGGGTAGCCTCTGAGCCATCCTTGGAGGCCTCTCGGGGGCTCCTCCTCCTCCTCCGCTGCATCTGGTGATATCTTCTTGGTGGGCGCCACGGCCCGCCCGACTCGTCCGTTGGGGTCCGCCCGCCCGGCCCGCCCGTCAGGGCAGGCCCGCCTGATCCGCCAGTCAGGGTCCGCTGCCAAGCTTTGTCCCTCTGCCCTCCCCCCTCCCTGGAGTCTTCGTCGTCCCGTGGTCAGATTCAATCCCTCTTGCTCCGCTTCCTTCTTGTTTCTTCCTCCTTCCTCGCTCCCTGCTTTTCCCTGTCCTTTTCCTCCGGTTTAGGAGACCGCGCGAACTACACGCGGCAGGCAAGGAATACATACCTCCCAATGGGGTGCGGTCGAATGCAAAGAGGCCGGGCGTCGAGGGCTCGGGGTACATCTATACATGTTGCAAAGCAACGCGATCATTCGTACACTGGCTGTTGCTCTTCTTGCTGCAGCAATGTCACTTCGGAAGCTAGTTGCTGTTGATCGCCCCGCCTGGCACCGGTTCGTTTCTTCGATGGGGGCTCGCGCCCCGTGTTTTTGGCAGGGGAATTCTTCCTTCCTGGACTGCGCTCCTGCCCCCCGGACTCCCACAACAACAGCTCCTCCTCCTCCTCCTCCTCCTCCTCCTCCTCCTCCTCCTCCTCCTCCTCCTCCTCCTCCTCCTCCTCCTCCTCCTCCCCCCCCTCCTCCCCCTCCTCCCCCTCCTCCTCCTCCTCCTCCTTCTTCTTTTGCTGTTTCTACGGAAGTGTAGTTCCGCTTGCGGTTTCCTTGCGGTGTCCTCCGGAATCGTCCCCTCGTTCGGGGCTTCCTTGCAACGTGTTCAGGCGCTGCGCTCTCGTGGTCTAGGAATTGCGCCCTTGCGCGAGACTTCCTTACAGATTGCTGCGGAATCGTGCTCTTGCCAGCGGTTTCTTGCAATTCACGAAGTTCGCTCCAATGCCCCGGCCACCTGGCCCGACTGTGAGGGTCCGCCCGCCTGACCTGCCTGTTAGCGTCCGCCCGCCCCATCCCCACGTTGGGGTCCGCCCGCCCGACCCGCCCGTTAGGGTCCGCCCTCCCGATCCGCCCGTGATGGTCCGCCCGCCCAACCCGCCTGGTAGGGTCCGCCCCCCCGCTTGCCTGGGATCCCGCACGCTCGCTTCAATGTCCCGCCTGTCCGACCCGCCTTATGAGGGTCCGCCCGCCCGACTCGCCTGTGGGGACTGCCCGACCCGATGGTATGCATTGATTTTTCGTTTGATTTGGGATGATCATGTTTCTGCCGATGTCCAGGCCGGACACAGGCGGATTCATAGTTGCTGTGGCGACGTGCGGAGGGGCCGCCCGGTGTTTGTGCTAGGGCTTCGTATTTGTGCTACGCGGTGCATAATTGGCTTGCGCCGCCAATTGTTCGCCAGGTGGACGCCAGTGCCCGCCTCATGCCCACCTCGTGCCCACCCCCCTGTGCGCGGGCTGGCGGTTCCTAACACTCGGCCAGTGGGCGCTGGAGTGCCCCCTCGTTCGCTTGCATCTCGCTCCCGGATGCACCCAGCCTGCGCCACATCAATTGCACCGCTTAGCTCGTACCCCGTAGATCGTACCACATAGCTTGCGCCTCACAGGTCGCGTCTCACATATTGCACCACGCGGGTCGCACTTCATGGCTTGCACCTAGTCGCCTGCACCACAAACCTTGCACTGCATGGATATCATCCCATGGTTTGCACAGCATAGGTTGCATCTCATAGCTTGCAGCATGTAGCTTGCACCACACAGACTGCAATCCAAAAGCTGTCTCGCATTGACTGCCCCATCCACAGCTTGTACCACATAGCTTCCATTGCATCGCTCTCCCAACAGATGGATTGCACCACATAGCTTGCATCCTATTGGATGCACCACGCAGAGCGCAGATCGAGAGTGCAATAACTCATTGCTTGGGGCCCACGCTGGCAATTATTTCCAAAGCAAGATCTGCTCGTTGGTGTTGGCAGGAGAGACGGAGGGAGGCTCTGAAGGCCAGCGATCCGCCGAGGTTTGGGCCACGGGCATGGGGCCCTCTCCCTCCCCCAGGTGCTGCAAGGACCCGGGGGGAGGGGTCTTGGGACACGACTCTGAGCCACGGGCCGCTCAGAGGGCCAGGCAGATTAGCGAAGTATGGAAGAGCTGTAATTTCAAAGATGGCATAGACGATGGACATGCCTGGCTTACCGTTGCTAGCCAAATCGTGGGTGGCAACTTTCGCCACTGGTGTGTGACGATGCACTTGGACGAGATTATTTGCGGGAATGTGTATCAGAGTACGCCCTTTGCTGGAGGCACTTTCGTTTTGGATGTCCATTTCCCGCAAGACTTCCCAATGCACCCACCGCGAATGCGCTTTGTTAATAAGATGTATCATGCAAATGTTTCCCCGTCTGGAGAGATATGCTTAGATTTGTTAAGCGATGAGAAATGGTCGCCATCGTATCACAAAATGATGCCGGTGTTCATGGCGATCGTTGGTTTGCTTGACGACCCGAATGCAGCGGATGCCTTAAATCCAGACGCGGCCGACATGCTTGATGCAGATAGGAAGCAGGGTACACACATGTACAGAGATACGGTTCAGGAGTGGACGAAGAAGTATGCGCCTTGAGAGTCAATCGTCGATGCGGAGGCTTCGCTGAACATCGGGCGCTGGCCGAAGTATGATACTTTGTATGCCTCTCTCTCTCTCTCCCTCTCTCTGACTTTCTCTCAGGCAGGATGAAGCACGGAAGAGAGGGGGGATGAGGAAGGTGTCAGGTGGAAGGCGAGTGGAGGGATAGGAGAGGCACGATGCGGGATGGAAGAGAGGCGGAAGGAGGGGGATGAGGAGGAGCAGGCCGAGGAAGGGAGGAGGAGGAGGTGGAGGAGGAGGAAACCATGAGGAGGGACGATCCTGGGGGGAGGGGGGGAGGGGGAGCATCATAGGCGAACCGCCCCCCTCCTTCTTCCCCTCCGTCTCCCTCCCTCCACCAAAGTCCTCTTCCTGCTTCTCGCCCTCCTCCATCCGCCCCGCTCCAGCTCCTTCCTCTGTGCTTTTCCCTATTGTTCGGATCGCCTCTCATCGCTCGCAGAGGGCGTCAGGGAGGGAGGAGGGGTGGATTGTGGAGGCAGGGGGGAGGAGAGAGGAGGACAGAGAAGGCAGAACGGACGAAGACGGCATGGGGAGATGCCGAGCGGGGCCAGGAATGTCGATCTGCGACGGTCCCGATAGCTCTTGCGCCCAAGCCGGTCTTCTAAGACGCCTGACGGCGTCACACTGCCTGCCCCCTTGGTCTGACGAGCGCCGCGCTCTGGACGGCCCTGTGTGAGGCCTCCGAGGGCAGCGCCTGCCGGGGAGAAGCACCGCCGGCGCCCAGACCTGATGGCGATGTGCGTTGAAATGCACATGTTTCGGCACTCGTTGCAATCACGACGGGTGGATTTTTGCAGTTTTCGGCTTCCGGGTGCCCTCGCCAGGCCCTGGGACCGTCAACGAGCGACCGGGTCTGAAAGGACGTCCCTGGGGAACGGGTCGGGACTTCCAGGGGCCCCGCATTGAAATGATCAAGACATATCGGATGTCTGGGCAGCGAGCCCCGCGCGGCGAAATGGGGACCCATGCAGCGCGTCGCGTCGAGCACCCATGGTGGCACGACGTCGCGATTATCCTGCAACTTGGGCATCGTACATTGGGATGCATCTCCTGGGAGGTCAACTTATAATTTTGTCCAGGTCGGAAGTCCGGCTTAATCTGGCTTAATCTGGCTTGATCCCGCTTAATCCCGTTTAATCCAGCTTAATCCAGCTTAATCCGAGACCCACTCTGGCGTAATAGCTCCCAAATGGGGCTTAATCCTCCTTGATCTTTCCGACGAAAACCTCCCAGTAGTTGCCTCCTAACATGGAGGCACGACGTCGCGATTCTCCTGCAGCTTGGGCATCGTACAGCACCCACGTCGCGCAGGCGCGGTGGCGGACAGCTTGTGGACCCTCGGAGGAGCGGGCCCGCCGGGCGGTGGGCGGCTCCGGCCCCCCCTTTTGGCCGCTCCCGAAGAAGGGCACCACCTCCGAGTACACGTTGCTCATTTCTAATTCTTCGAAGGTTCCTTGATTTTTTTGGGGGCCAAGATCCTCTCATTTCTAATTGTTCTAACCTGGGCCTCTTCCTGGCCACTAGGGGGCCAGGAACAATTAGAAACGAGCAGAATTAGAAATGAGCACGATTATAAATGAACGACGTGTACGCGTCGCGCGCGACATGCGGAGCGGTCCACCGACTGGGCAGATGGCAGAACTGTCGCGGCGGCTGCGCCAGAGACTGGCGCTCACTCTGTTCGCTCGTTTCACGCGACTCCTTGGGTAGCATTCTCAGACATGCGACGTCCTGATTCTTTCAGCACGGCGTCTTTGGAGGTCCCGACCCTTTCCAGGGGACCGCTTTTTCGTTCTGAATCGTTTTTTTATGGTCCCGAGGCCCGGCGAGGGCCCCCCGTTTTACGACGCGAGCATGTCTGGGTTCCTTTCTTCCTAGCCAGCGCGCACGCGCGCTGTCCGTTCGGAGTGTGGCAGTTGCCACACCTTGCTTGGTGCGGCCGCCCCCCATAGCCAGGGCTGGGTTCTGCGATGCCGACCCTGCCAGATGCAGGACGGAATCACAAAACAGTTGTCGGCCGTGGTGGCGGACTGTGGCCAAGGGGGGGGGTCATAAAGAAGTGGAGAGAAGGAGGAGGAGGAGAAGGAGGCGGATTACCACGAATCTGTATTTATACAGATGTAATACATGCACGCCCGTACATCTATTCACGGTTGGCAGGTGTATGCATGTATGTGCGATGATGAGCAAATGTATGTGTATGTGTATGCATATCTATGCATGTATGTATGCATGCATGCATGCATGCATGCATGCATGTATGTATGTATGTATGTATGTGTGTATGTATGTATGTGTATATATGTATATCGATACTATTGTCTAGTTGTCGCAATCATCCAAGACGCCGGCGGCGAATCACCGCCGTGGATCCAGCCGAGACCTCGCGGCTCCCTGGGAGGCTACGAAACAAAGTTCGCAGCTGTCGCTGCTCTCGTCGGCTCCCGCGAGGCACGGCGGAGACGAGGGCAGCACAGATCGTGCATATGTGGCGATGTTTTTTGTTTTCAAAAACAATGAAAACATATAAAAGTTGATCTATAGAACGTTCGTTCAAATAGTTATTCGCATCGCGCAGATTCTGGGGAACTCGATTTTGAAATCTGTGCGGACTCACAGGATTCCAAAAGGTTTCCGGCATGCGTGGGCGACGACGCGCGCGCGTACGTTTCGTCACATTTTTTTTGCAAGGGGTTCCTGTACAGTGATGTTTTTGATGAACGAGTTTGTTTGACAATGAAAAAGGTGGTGGCGTTACCGGTTTGGCTTGGATGATATGAGTTTCGAACGAACGAAGGGGCATAATCATACGGTAATTGTGCATCCCCAGGCGGTACGGATAACCCTGGTGGGGGTGGGTGGTAGATCCTGATTCTTTGTTGGAAAGGAGAACCTATGTGGTGCAGTCCATGTGGTGCAATCTATGTGGTGCAATCTATGTGGTACAGTTTGGTCTGCCGAACTTGAGGTTGTGAATTCTTGACGTTTCGCGTATCCCCACCAGCCATGCTCTCTGCTCTGTTTTTGCTTTTGCAGGTGGCACAGCCTGCCCCTGCTTGCTCGGCGTCCGACTCGCTTCGTGCGCCCGCGAACCAAAACAAATATCCCCACCAGCCGTTCGATCCGTTTCGCGCGTCGACCCGTTTCGCGCGCCCCGTAGCCTGGCGTTCGACCCGTTTCGCGCGCCCGCGTACCAAACAATATCCCCACCAGCCCATCCAGAAACGATCAGCAGGGGAGTTGAAATGTCAGGGACGGCTGGAAGCGTGCAGCTGCGCGGCCGTCTTCAGACAGACAAGGATCACACATGCTTCCGCATTGATATTTAAGATGAAAATCGGTGCAAGATACGACGTGGTGCTCCCCGTGGTCAACGTAACGTCTCTAGCGCAGGTGGCTGTATCCACCCTGGGCCACGAGAAACAAGGATCACACATAGCTCCCCGCAGCGAAGTTTAAGATGGAGACCAGTGCCAGACACGCCAGGGTGTTCACTGTGGTAAGCGTCTCTGGTGCAGGTGACTGTATCTATCATTCGTCGCCCTTGTCGCACAGTTGATAGTCGCATCCCCATATGCATCCTTGATCTCTGCCCCCGCACTGCAGTTTATCTTAAACTTGCGTGCGGCTGTTGATGGTGGTGATGGTGGTGGTGGTGGTCGCGGTGGTGGTGATGCTGCTGGTGGTGTTGCTTGTGGTGCTCTATTGCACTCTTGGAGCCATCTTGGAGCACGTGGTGCTGCTGGTGCTGATAATGCCTGGGGCCATCCTGGGGGTAAGAGGAGGCATAGGAGGAGGAGGAGGAGGAGGAGGAGGAGGAGGAGGAGGAGGAGGAGGAGGAGGAAGAGGAGGAGGAGAAGGAGGAAAAGGAAAAGGAGGAGGAGGAGGAGAAGGAGGAGGAGGAGGAGGGGGAGGAGGAGGAGGAACATAACAATAACAAGGGAAGGAGGAGGAGGAGGAGGAGCAGGAGGAATGCGGCGCGAAGAGGATGAAAATGAGCAGGGAGGCGGCAGGAAAGAATCAAGGGAAGGAACGGACGATGACAAGGATGACGAGAAGTCGGGCTTCGGGCATATGTCGTGGTGAAAGGTTCTTCGAAGACTCGTAATGCCATTTGGGCGCCATCTTGGGGCTCTCTTAGGAGTCTCCTGGGGCTCTCTTTAGGCGATCCTGGGGCTCTTTTTGGGAGTCTTGGGGCCCTCTTGGGGCTCTTTTGGGGGTCTGGGAGGCCTCTTGGGCCGTCTTGGACCTCTTCGCTCAAAAAAGAAGGAGGTATTAAATTTACGTCCCCCCCTCGGAGGCCCAAAAGGGGCGTCTTAGGGGCCCTCTTGGGCCGCTCTTGGGGCGCCCTTGGGCGCTCTTGGGGCCGTCTTGGGGCCCTCTTGGGCCTCTCTTGGGGCTATGTTGGGCCATCTTGGGGCCATCTTGACGCCTCAAGAGCCCATCGGAAGCGAAACAACGAAAAGGCAAAGCACATCGATTTTCCGCAGGTTTTCAAACCATTTTGGCCTCTTGGGGGGTCCTTGGAGGGCTCGGAGGGCACTTGAAACCGTCTTTGGGCCGTCTTGAGGCCTCTTGGATGCGTGTTGGAGACTATCTTGAGCCGTCTTGAGGTATCTTGGGCGATCTTGGAGGCCATCTTGGGCTAGCTAAAGCCCTCTTGAAGCTATCTTGGGCCATCTCGGATGCTCTAACCCCTCGCGGGGGAGCCCGTCTAGACCAAGAGAGGGGGGGAGGTAAACCTCCCGAGCAGGGAAAGGATGGAGGCTGGAAAAGGAAACGCTCTAGACCACCTGCGCCCAGAGGGCTGGTGGGACTCCATTGCTCGCGCAATTAACTCACCCACCCTCCCGCAACTAGGTGTGCAAGACCCTTGCGGCGGCGATTGAGATGACTGCTTGGCGCTGGCTGGCACATCGGTGCGGCTGCGCTAGCGCCCGCAGGTTCGCGCGCAGAGCGGCAAGCTAGTTTGGCGCGACCGGCGTGGCCGCGGTGGCGCTGACCGCTGGCGGCTTCCCAGCGCGTGTCGCAGGCCGCGCTGACGCGCAGGCACTACAGCGCGAGTCGGTGACTCGGGAAGGCGCGGTATCATGGCGACGTCGATAGTTGCAGACGCGATGGTGATAGTAGCGATGCTTGTGGCGATGGCGATGATGATGATGATGATGATGATGATGATGATGATGATGATGATGATGATGATGATGATGATGAGGATGATGCTAATGGGGATGATGATGATGATTATGATTATGATGATGATGATGATGCTAATGCGGATGATGATAATATGGGTAATTATGGTAACGATGATGGTGATGATGGTGCTGATGGTGATGATGATGATGATGATGATGATGATGATGATGATGATGATGATGATGATGATGATGATGATGATGACGGCGGCGAGGCCAATGACGGCGCCGATGCTGATCACCGCCGTGAAGATTTCAGAAGGATTTCGACATGCGCGCGCGGCCAACGCGGGCGAGTGGCCCGCATGGGACTATTTGTCAGGGGTCGTATTCTTTCCCTCATCAAGCGCGCAGAGGTGTTCGCATGTCTTGAACATTCGCGCGCGAGGTCGCATTTGCAGGGGATGTTGACATCAAAAAGCTGGTTCCAGCAGCAATTCGCAAGAGCGCTCGCGCAAATTCTTTTTTTTTCCCAGCCTGTTGGGTCCTGGAGATGGAGAGACAGCGCTCCGCGTTCCTCCTCTCCTCTCATCTCCTCTTCTCTCCTTTCCTCCCCCTCCTCCCTCCTCTCCCTCCTTGCCTCCGCCCTCACGAGGATCCCATGCCGCCCCGCCCTCACGAGGATCGTTTCCCCAAAGGGAACTCCGCGCATGGCGGCCTCGGGCCATCTCGGCACAACTCTGACGAGGATCGTGGTCCTACATGGAGCTCCACCGAAGGCCCCTGTGGCAGGGTTCGCAGGGTGGCTTCGGGCGACTTCAATGAACCCTTCACGAGGATCGTGGCCCCGCAGGGAGCTCCACCGAAGGCCCCAGCGGCAGGGCTCGCATGGAGGTTCGTGGCCCCATAGGGAGCTCCACCGAACACCGAAGCCCCCGGCGGCAGGGTTCGCAGGGTGGCCCCGGGCCATCTCGGCACACCCCTCACACGGATCGTGGCCCCACAGGGAGCTCCACCGAGGGCCCCACCGGCAGGGTTCGCATGGCCGCTTCGGGCCAGATCGGTTTACCCTTTACGAGGGTCGTGGCCCCATATGGAGCTTCACCGGCCCCAGCGGCAGGGTTCGCATGGCGGCCTCGGGCGATTTCAGCACACCCTTCACCGAAGGACCCAGCGGCAGGGTTTGCATGGCGGCCTCGGGCGATTTCGGCACACCCCTCACGAGGATCGTGGCCCCATAAGGAGCTCCGCCGAATGCTCCAATGGCAGGATTCGCATGGCGTCCTCGGGCCATCTCGGCACAACCCTGACGAGGATCGTGGCCCCACAGGGAGCTCAATCGAAGGCCCCAGCGGCAGGCTTCACATGGTGGCTTCGGGCGATTTCAGTAAACCTCTCACGAGGATCGTGGGGTCAAAGGGAGCTCCACCGAAGGCCCCAGTGGCAGGATTTGCATGGCGGCCTTTGGCGATTTCGGCACACCGTCACAAGGATCGTGGCTCCATAGGTGGCTCAACCGAAGGCCCTAGTGGCAGGGTTCGCATGGCGGCCTCGGGCGATTTCAGCACACCCCTCAAGAGGATCGTGGCCCCATAGGTAGCTCCACCGAAGGGCCCAGTGAAAGGGTTCGCATGACGACATCGGGCGATTTCGGCACACCCCTCATGAGGATCGCGTGGCCTCGTAGGGGGCTCCGCCGAAGGCCCCGGCGGCAGGGTTCGAATGGCGGCCCCGGGCCGTCTCGGCTCATGCCTCACAAGGATCGTGGCCCCACAGGGAGCTCCACCGAAGGGCACAGAAAAAGGGTTCGCATGGCGACCTCGGGCGACATCGGCGCACCCATCACGAGGATCGTGGTGTGGGGAACTCAATCTTGAAATCCTCGCGGGACACATGTTTTTTTCATGAATTCCGGCATGCGCGCGCGACGACGCGAGCGTGTCGACTTTGTCATGTTTTTTTTTGCAAGGGGTTGTGCACATGTACGGTTTCTGATAAGCGAGTCTGCGCGCATAGTAGTACTTGACAGGGATGATACGGAAGGAGGGGATACCGGCTTGGCTGGGATGGTGTGGACTCATACATGAAATTTGCGATGGGACAGAATCACATTTAAGTTGTATTGTCCCAGGGGGTGCCCGTAATTCCAGGGGGGGTAGATCAGAATTTCTTGAAAGGAGAACCGACGTGCCGCAGTCGACATGGTTCATTTCATCTGGCAGATCTTGAAGTTGCTCCACTGCTCGCGCAATCATCCCACCCACCCACGTGCAACTTGGTTTGCAAAACCCTTGCGGGGCGATTGGGATGTTTGCTCGGCGCTGACTGGCGCATCGCGGCGGCCGCGCTAGCGCGCGCAGGCTCGCGCGGAGAGCGGCCATCTAGTTTGGCGCAGCCGAAACGCCCGCGGTGGCGCTGACCGTTGGGGTCTTCCCAGCGCGTCTCGCGAGCCGCGCTGAGGCTGACGCGCGGGCATTTCAGTGCGAGTCGGCGACTCGGGCGGGCGCGGTATCATGGCGACGTTGAGAATGGCAGACACGAGGATGATAGTAGCAATGGTTGTGACGATGATGGCGCTGACGGCGGCGAGGCCAAGGACGGTGCCGACGCTGCTCGCGCCGATGACGATGGTGGTGTCTACGTGTCGGTGATGCAGGTTTTGGAAGATTTCGCCATGAGCGCGCGGCCGAGGCGGGCGAGTGGCCCGCATGGGACTATTTGACATGGAGCGTGCCCCCCTGAGCAAGCGCGCGGAGGCTTTCGAATGATTTCGGCATGCGCGCGCGGGGGGGCCGCTTGGACGCATTTGATGACCGTGTTACGAGAGTCATTTTCCTTAGAAAATGAAGAGAAACGCGCGCGCAGATTTCATCGATGAAACTAGTGATGCAATACCGTTAATCAGATATGTTCGGAAAAGGGGACCTTGATCTGAAAGTCCTTATGCCGCTCTCGACTTTTGGATTTTTCCAGCATGCGCGCACGAAGCCGCGCGCGTGTCCACTTTGTCATGTTTTTGGGAAAGGGGCTGCTGAAAAAGAAAACAGGACATGTGATAAACGACAGGACGCACATAGTTTTATTTCACAGGTATGGAGGGGGCATGGGGCGGTAACGGCGCTCTTTGGATGGTATGATATGAGTTCATGTTCAAAATGAACGATGGGGCAGGATCATATGTAAATCGTATAATACCAGGGGAAAGCGGTAAACGCCTGGTGTGTGTGTGTGTGTGTATGTGTGTGTGTGTGTGTGTGTGTGCGTGTGTGTGTGTGTGTGTGTGTGTGTGTGTGTGTGTGTGTGTGTGTGTGTGTGTGTGTGTGTGTGTGTGTGGGTGGGTGGGTGGGTGGGTGGATGGGTGGGTGGGTGGGTGGATGGGTGGGGGGGGGCGGTCGATATCTTTGTGGCGCAAAGGAGTGCAAAGAAGGGCGAACAATTCAAAGCAATGCGAGTCAATTCACGGCAGCGCAAACCAACACAGTGAGGCGACGACTAGGCGGCGACGGGACGGCGACGGCGACCACATAGCCGCCAAACTTTTTTTTTTTCTCTCTCTCTCTCTCTCTCTATATATATATATAGATATGTATATATACATACACATATGTTTCGCTCTCTCTCTCTCTCTTTCTCTTTTTTTGCTTCTCTCTCTCTCTCTCATATAGACGCATATGCTCGGACGCAGGGGGCTGACCCGCCTGGCTCGGTTATTGCGAGTGTGTCAGCGCTTGTGCGTCTGGATCGCTTCTCGCGGTGGCTGGGCGGTGCTCGCCCCGCCTCTCCGCTACGTTACGGGTCGCTGAGCTTTGCCCTGGCCGTGGCGTCGGTCCGTACAGTTTGTCCACGCTGCCCGACCTGCTTTGGCTACGGCCAGGCGGCCTTACTCGGAGCCACGCGTGCGCTGCCATGGGAAGATTCGCAGGCCTAGAGGTTGACACCAACACCAATATCGGCGGTGCTTCTCCACCGAGGGAAGAAAGATCCCGATTTCGGTGATGATGGTCGGCTTCCAAGGTGGCCGAAGTATTACCACCAACACCGAAATCCCTCCTGTGGAGGCAGCCCCTTGTTTTGGTGTTGATGCACATTTCCATGCCTCCAATTACTCGGAGCCGCGCGTGCGCTGCCATGGGAAGATGGAATGGGGGCGGACGGCGGAGGGGGGCTGGGGCCAGAGCGGGGCATCGGAGCGGATCGGGGCGCTCGGAACCCACCTTCTGGCACACCGCCTGCGCGGCACCTGTCCGCCTGCCGCGCCCGTCGTTCGCTCGGCGGCCGCGGCGATGTCCGCGGCCGCGGTGGTGGCCGAGGGCGCCGCGATCTTGGCGCCCGCCGCGGCGTTGGCGCTGGCCGCCTACGGCGCGGCGAGGCGCCGCCGACGACGCCGACGGCCAGCGCCGGGCGGATCGGATCTTTCGATCCTGGCGCGTTTGCTCCTTCATCTCGACCCCTGGGGGGCCGGTTTTCCGGCCCCTTTTGTGTGGATCCAGGACAGAAGGCTGCCCCTCCAGGGAAGTGTGGTCGGGAGATCGCTCGGGCCCGCGGATGGAAGAAACCGACCTGTCGGAACTCAGGGGTCGCCGACGACGCCGAGCCAGGGGGCAGCCCTCCGTCACGGGCCCACAGTTGCTGAAAATGGCCCCAGGAGGCCGACATTCGGGAAAGGCCTCGATCGAACGATCCCGATGCCGACGCCGACGGCGCCGACGATGCCAGCGCTCTCGCCGACAGCTGCGGCGGCGGCGACGGCGGCCAGGCTGCTCCTGGCCTTCCGCGAGGGCGCGTTGGAGCTGCTGCGGGCCGTGGAGGCGAGGGACGCGCAGGACGCGCAGGTCCTCGAGGGTCGCAGGGGCATCTGGGGCGTTTTTTGATTAAGCAAGAAGCGTAAACACCACGAGTAGTGTATCTGTGTGTGTGTGTGTGTGTTTTGCGGCTCCGCCACCTTCCGCTCGCTCTCCCCATCGCTCTTTGGCGCACTCCCTCGTCGGTCCACTCTTGCTGACCCGGCCTTCCCGCCTTCCAGTTCCAGATGGCTTATGTCACCTTCCACCCTCACCGTAGTTTCGGCTACTCACCGCTCTCCCCGCCATCCTTGCCCGGATGGTTATGGCTGCCGCCAGCTGTGAGACCCTAAGCGTAAGCGGTCTCTGAGTGCTCGGCCGGGCGTAGACGCGCGCGCTTCAATGCTGGCTCCAGACTTTCTACGCCCCGTAGCCGCGCGTGGGGCCACGACGCCCAAGAGTGTGTGTGTGTATGTATTTGTGATTCATGCTCGTCTGCATCCCATTGTAGCTCTTTCTGTGGTGATGGCACTCGCCCCGCGGAGGTAACTCGTGTAAGTGTGTGTGTGTGTGAGTATGTGTGTGTGTGTGCGTGTGAGTGTGTGTGTATGTATGTGTGTGTGTGTGTGTGTGTGTGTGTGTGTGTGTGTGTGCGTGCGTGCGTTTGTGTGTGTGTGTGCGTGTGTGTGTGCGCGTGTGTGTTGTGTGTGTGCGTGTGTGTGTGTGTGTGTGTGTGTGTGTGTATGTTTTTTGTTGTGTGTGTGAGAGAGAGAATGTGTTTGTGTTGTGGCCTTAACTAATTTGTCCGATTCGTTTCTTTTCCTGTCTGGTCGCTGTTTTTCTTCGTGAATTCGAGCAGCCTCGTATGCTGTCGCATTTGCCCCCGCAGCTTGTTGTGCCAGACCCCGCTGTTTTTCGTGCCCTTTCGGTGCGCCTTTGCACTCGGGCATCGTCGCCTTTGTGCTCCAGTTCGCCTGGTTGGTCTCGGCCTTGTTCATGCGTTTGCATGGCCAGAACACAACCTTCTACTTGCGCGCGCCTTCTCGCGTATTTTTCTGGCATGCGACTGCCCACATTCAGTCCACCCATCTACCACGCCAGGTGTAAATACGCCCAAGCGTGTCCCAGCATAGCTGTTCACGACGGTGTCTGGAGAACATTGTGTGTGTGTGTGCTTGTGCGTGTGTGTGTGTGTGCGTGTGTGTGCGTGATGTTTGTTTGTTTGCTTGTATGCTGTTCTTGCGTGCGTGTGTGTGTGTGTGTGTGCGTACGAGTGCGCGCGCGCGAGTGTGTGTGTGTGTGTGTACGAGTGCGCGCGCGCGTATGTGTGTGTGTGTGTGTGTGTGTGTGTGTGTTTGTGTGTGTGTGTGTGTTTGTGTTTGTGTTTGCGTGTATTTTAGCCCTCTTGGGGCGTCCCGCATCGCCGCTTGTGCCTGGAGCGCGCGCCGGGAGCAACTTCAGAGGGACACCTGCCCAGGGGGGCGCCAGTTCTGCGCGGACGCCGGTCCTGGGCGGGCCCCTCCCAAGCCCGCAAAGGGCCCTGGAAACGACAGGGCCGTTATTTTACTTGATGGGCCAATGTTCCACTATCACTACCATATGTCGGAAGGGGGGAGAAAGGAGGATGGGGAGGTCCTCCTCCTCCTCCTCCTCCTCCTCCCTCTCCTACCTCTCCAGCCTATGGTAGTGGTGGTGGAATATAGGCCCATCATTACTGGTTTCGTTTTGCCGTTCTTTGACGGTTCCGTCTCTGTGCTTTTTCTGGTTCCGTCGCCGTTTTTCTGCCGGTTCCGGTTCCAGTTCCAAAGTCCCGGAGCCTTTTTTTATGCCAGTTCCCTCGCCGTTTTTTTGCCGTGTCCGGTTCCAGTTCCAATCCCGGAGCCTTTTTGTGCTGTTTCTGGCCGCCACATTTTCACCGCCTCCGTGTTCAAGAGACACTTTCTTGAAAGCGGTGAAGAAACGGCCCTGCCGCTTCCGGGGCCCAGGCCTCGGCCAAGACGGTATGGGCGTGCGCGCGCCGATCCTGGTTGGCTCGCGCGCGCTCGCCCTGCGCAGTCCCCTGAGGCCCCCGACGTCATGAGTTCTGGAGCAGCGTCCACCTCCAGAGGCCTCGGCGCCTTACCTCGGGACCGGTTTCTCCTCCTGGGTCGGTTTCTGACGGCCCCGAGGCCCAGTGAGGGCCCCCAGAGGCCGAACAGAGCGAGAAACCTTCCGTCGAGATCTCTGGTCATGACTCGAGGGGGTCTGGGCCTCTCGCCCACTGTGCACGCCGATTTTCAGGCGATCGCAAATATGGATCAAAGGGGCGTGGATTAGCGACGGGTCCCGTTTCTATGGGCAATCGCGGATTGCCGCCGCCGAGCGAGGCGGCACCGGCCGCATTTTGGGGAGGGCACTTCCCCCGATCCATGGGTTAGGCGACCGCGCGCCAAATCCACGGATCGCTAATCCATGTTTGCGCGTCCCCGACTGGGGTGCCTCCTCCCTCGGCTGGCGATGGCGAGAGCGACTCTGGCGAGTCTTCTTCTCAGAGTGGCGGCGCTCCCCTTCCGCTGCCGTCACTGTTAGCTTCGGGCGCTGGGCGTGAAGCTCACAAACAAGAAAACCTCCTCGCACAGACGCGCGCAGAGGGTGGCTGGCCCGCGCACCACCGAGACTTGCACGGCGCAGCCCACCTTCTGCAGCGCCATGTGGAGTTGACGCTCCTCGCGCCCCGCTGCAGATCTCGCTGCAACGACGCCGCTCGGCCGCTGGAGGCAGCAGAGCGAACGTTCCCGGGCCCAGGATTTGAAGTCGGGCCTGTCCCTCTACAGGAGGAATATGCAAAAATTGTAAAACAATAGCCTGGGGACGATCGTCTGAGTATTGTTGTTGACCATTTTGGGGTGCATTTTTGGGCCATTTTTTGTTCTTCGTCCAAAAGCCCCCTATAGGAGGACAGGCCCTACTTAAGCCCAGGATGGGCCTGGCTGGGATCGGTCCTCGGTGCCAGTGTGTCGGCGTCGCCCCCTGGGATGCAACGTCGCGAGAAAAAATGCAAGACATGCTGAGCAATCACGGCCAGAACCGTCGACCCCATCCTCCCGCGGCATCTCTCGAGCCGGATCGATCCGTGAGGGCCCTGGGGGCCCGACACTGGGTGAAAGCGCCTGGTGTGAACGAACGAATGAACGAAGGAACGGCCTCCATCGCGTCGGAACGCGTTCCCGTAGGCAGGGGCGGGAACGGCCGCACCCCCCCGATGTTGCTGCCGCCGATGAGCTTACGACCCAGAAACTGCCACTGTGTAGAGCAGGGTATCGCAACGAAGAACGTGTCGTTCATCACGTCGACGACGTTGCTGTAGAGAAAGCCTGTAGCATTATCAGTCCACAGTTATTTTGGTCCATGCGGGGCTCGAACGCGCCCGGTGTGAAGAGACTGCGACGCCCGGGTCTCAGGTTTCCCTGAGCCTCGGTCGGCAGATCGGTCGACGACGACGACGACCCCTCTGTCGGACGAGCAGCCCATGGGCGCCGTGCTGGCGACGATGGGTCGATGACGGCGACGGCGACGGTGGGGTCTCTGCAGGTCCGCGTGGTCGACTGCAGGCCCTGGGGGTTGGACCGCACGTTCCATATCGCGGAGGCGACCTCACCACATCTCCTGCTTCTCATGCTCTTCCTGCGTCCCTTTCCCCCTCGAAAGCACATGCGATTCCTCTTGTCCCACACACAAAAAAAACGACTCCTCCTCCTCCCCCTCCTCAAAAAGATGCGACCACCTCATACAAAACTGCTTCTCCTACTCTTCCCCTCCCTTTTCTTCTTCCTCATCAGAAGGCGGTTGCCCATAACCTTGGATCCAACAAGTTGGCATCTGTTGGGACGGAAACTTTTACCTCCGCCGGCTTCCACCGGCGGAGCTGCCCTTGCTTTACTTCCGCCGCCTTCCGCCGAGGAGAAGATGTCAGCTCCTTCGAACCTCGAAAGTAGGGCCCTTTCTGGAGCGCCCTAAAAACAGCGGCTCCCCTCCTCCCTTGTCGAGAAACGGTCCCCGTAGCTCTGGGCCCCTTCCTCGGGACAGGTTGCTCCTCCCGAGTTGGTTTTTTGACGGCCCAGTGCTCCCAGACGCCGGAAGCGGTGAAAAACAGTTTTTTTTGTAGAAAAAAAGTTTGCGTTGCGGTTTCTTCAAAGCCCACGTCGCCGAGGCGACCTCGGGCGCCGCCGAGTGCGGCGGCGGGGCGGGCGAGTTCGGCGGCTTCGGGCACGGCGGTGGCCCCTCTTCGCTGGTGGCGGGCCTGCAAGCGCCGCGCTGCGAGAGCCCGCCATTCGGCCCCTCTGGGCGACAACAACACGTGTCCACTCGGGGGCAGCGAGCCCTGACCTCAGAGGAGGAAGAGTCACCGATTCCGCAGCCCTTCCCTCGATTCACCTTTTTGTTGGGGCCTCCCGGAAGGCCCTCGTCGCCACCATTGGATTCGCCTCGAAACTCTGGTCAGAACGCACCCGTAAGAGGTCTGGGGCGTAGGTAGCGGTATCCGTATTTTTAGGTGTTCCCTTGACCACCCCGAGCTCCTGGCGTGGCAACGTTTTCACACCAGGCGTTTTTGCCCCGTTTCGGGCCTCGGGGCCAGCACCGATTGATCCATCTAGGGCTCCAGTTGCGATGTTTGCTGATATTGTATTGTTTTCGCAACGTCGCATGTCAGGGGAAGGGGGGAGTTCCCTAGGGTTGGCCTGAGATTTTCCCTTCGAGGAGGAGCGCTGGCCAAGCCTGGCTCGCCCCCGTCTCCTTCGCGATCTGCTAGAAGTTTCCTTCCTCTGTAGGTCACCCAGACTTTTTGCGGATTCATTTTTTTAATCCTGGCGTTTCTCCTTTCTTTCGCTGTCGTCGTCATCATCGTAGTCGTGATGGTCATCGTCATCGTCATTGTCATCCTTATCGTCATCGTCATCGTCATCATCGTCGCCGCCGCCACCGTCGTCGTCGTCGACGACAGGGGGTCGATCGAGGATCTTTCGATCGAGGCCTTTCCACAATTGCGGCTTCGGGGGGTCATTCTTCGGGCCCCAGGACCAGCCATGGATCCGCGACGGAGAGGCGACGGAGGTCGAGACTGATGGGGGCCCGCAAACCGAAAAAGTGAACCCGTCGGTGTACAGTTGAGCGACGCAGGAAAACGGGGTCGTCTGCGCCGACATTCGCGCGTAAGCTGCCCGCGTAAGCTCACGCGTGAGCGCCCTCGCTTCCAAGGGGGGCGTGCCGCGCCGGCGGCCCGCGTAAGCTGCGGCGTAAGGTCGCTATGCCATCTTGCGTAAGACCCGTTTTGGACCGTCGCTCGGCTGTCGTCGCCCCAGGTCTGTCCATCTGGAGCGCCTCGTTCGGGCTGGCGACCGAGGAGCAAAGAGCGCCGCGTGCCTGCACCCTCGGAGGTCCGCGCGGGCTTCGCCGGTCGGCGCCCGGCCGCCCCTGGCGTCGCGCCTATCGTCCTCGCGAGCTGACGACGACGACGACGACGACGACGACGACGACGACGACGACGACGACGACGACGACTGCGACGACGACGGCGGCGGCGACGACGACGACGACGGCGACGAGGACGAGAGACAATAAACCCGCGCGGACCTCCGAGTTTTTACGGTCTACGGCCAAGCAGCATCTTCGATGGCAGCGTCGGCGTCACCCTAACATACTAATACTATGTGTGCGTCGCCCCCCCAGGGGCGACGCGCGCACCGATGATTCTTATAGTGTGTACGTCGTGGCGGGCGCTTTCTGGCCACACCGCTTCCACACCGCTCGCGCAACGACCTACTACAAGATGGGCATACTAGATATTCGGGTCGCACTCGCGCCTCCAAGGAGGACGTATAGCACTGGCATGTCTCCGTGCGTCCCAGGCCCCAGCGCCGAGCCCACGAGCTCTGCGCGGGCCTCCGAGCGTCTACGGCCTGCGGCCCAGCCGCCCTCTCGGCAGTGGCGTGCCGCTGCGCCGGCTCGGGCCCGCCCGCGCCTCGGCGCGGCACGCTGCGCGCTCCGTGGCCCCCCCAGCGCCCACGTGCCGAGCCGCTCCCGGCCTCCCGCTCCCCCCGGAGCGGAGCGACACGCCGCCCGCTGGCAGGGCAGAGCGCGCCGCTGGGGCCGCCGCCGCGGCACGCGGAGCAGAAGCTCCCGAGGCCTGTGTGCCTTGGTTCGCTTGGTCTTCGAGGCGGGGGTTTATACACCACCACCGCCTGGAGGATCGATTTTCGCGGGCCTCCACAGGCGGTGGATATGGCTATATGTTATATATATATATATATATATGTATATATACATATATATATATATATATATATGCATATATATACATATGAAGATATGACGCTATATGTATGTATGTATGTGTATGTATGTATGTATGTATGTATGTATGTGTATGTATGTATGTATGTATGTATGTATGTATGTATGTATGTATGTATGTATGTATGTATGTATGTATGTATGTATGTATACATGTATGTATGTATGTATGTATATATATATATATATATATATATACATTTTCATATCCCCGCGCACGAGGCCCAGGCGCCCAGGGCCTGGGCCTCGAGCGCGCATGGGAGGACCGGGGCCTCCGAGACCGCTCCCAGAGCACCCTGGAGGGGCCGTGGAGCCCCCAGACTGCCCTAAGCCCCTGGAGGACTTTGACAAGCCCTTCCAAGACAGCCCAGGTAGCCCCAACGTGGCCCAAGATGGGCTCCAGACTGTAAATACACAGCCCAAGAGGCCTTCAAGAGGCCTCAAGAGATCTCCGAGAGGCGTCCCGATAGAGCCCAAAGAGATCCAAATCTTTGATTTCCCGTGTGCTTTTTCCGATGATTTTTCGGTTTCGCGCGTTTTCGACTTTCCGACGCTCCAAGACGGCCGGCGGCACCCCCAAGACCACCCCAAGATCGCCGAAGAGGCCCCCAACAGAGCCCCCAGACGGCCCCAGGGAGTCCGAAAATTGCCCAGGAGGAGCCCCAGACGGCCCAAGAGAGCCCCAGGACAGGCCCAAGCTGGGCCACAGAGCGGGAGCGGGAGGCCCCAAGGCGATCCAAGGCAGCCCAGATGGCCCCAACGTGGCCCCAGATGGGCCCAACATGGCCATGGCCAATACACAGCCCTAGAGGCCTCCAAGAGGCCCTAAGAGAGCTCCGAGAGGCGTCCCGAGAGAGCCCGGAGAGGCCCGCACCCTTGATTTCTGGCAGTTGTTTCTAATGTTTTTCGCTTTCTCGCGTTCTCGAGCTTCCAGCGCTCCAAGGCGGCCGAAGACGCCCCGAAGATCGCCCCAAGACCGCCGAAGAGGCTCCAAAAAGAACCCCAATACGGCCCCGGAGAGCCCAAAGACTGCCCAAGAGCAGCCCAAGACTGCCCAAGAGAATCCCAGGAGAAGCACAAGCTGGGCCACAGAGCGGGAGCGGGAGGCCCCAAGGCGCTCCAGGACGTCCCAGGTGATTCCAACGTGGCCCCAGAGGAGCTCAAGACGGCAAACACACAGCCTAAGAGGCCTCCAAGAGGGCCCAAGAGAGCTCCGAGAGACGTCCCGAGAGAGCCCAAAGAGGCCCAAAGCATTGATTTGCATTGGTTTGTTCGATGTTTTTCGCTTTCTCGCGTTTTCGAGCTTCCAATGCTTGAAGACGGCCGAAGACGCCCCCAAGACCGCCCCAAGACCGCCGAAGAGGCCCCCAACAGAGCCCCCAGACGGCCCCAGGGAGCCCGAAAATTGCCCAGGAGGAGCCCCAGACGGCCCAAGAGAGCCCCAGGACAGGCCCAAGCTGGGCCACAGAGCGGGAGCGGGAGGCCCCAAGGCGCTCCAAGACGGCCCAGATGGCCCGGGCCCCCCCCCCCTCCGTGCCTCCTTCCCGCCCGCCCCCTCCCCTTGCCGCCATGCCCACCTCTCTCCTCTTCCTCCCCTCACCCCTCAGCTTTCGTGCCCCTCCTTCGTCTCCTGGGACGGCCCCGCCAGAGCGCCAGACAGGCCCTGCCAGAGCGAGCGGGGATCGCTAGACCCTATCATTTCACAAGTTGTTTTGCCCCTCCCACCCCTGAAGGGCGGCCCCGGCAGAGCGAGAGGGGTGTTGCTATATCATATGCAGTCCCTGTTTTGTCTTGCTCCTCCCACCGTACCCGAGGTAGCCCCGTCAGAGCGCACGGGGTGTGGCTACACTATAATTTTCCTTAGGTTTCGTGCTCCTCCCTCCCCTCTTGGGCAAACCCGCCAGAGCGCCAGGGACCCCCCCGCCAGAGAGAGCAGGGAATCCCTACACCATATTATTTCACGCGATTATTGCTCCTCCCACCCTTGCAGGGCGGACTCGCCCGAGCGAGCGGGGTGTGGCTAGACTATACACTTCCTGTGGTTTCGTGTCCCTCCCTCACCTCCTGAAGGGCCTCGCCAGAGCGCCAAGAAGAAGGTACCGCCAGAGGCCCCGTCAGAGCTCCAGGCAGCCCCACACATGGGACTTGCCAGGCAAATCGTTGAGCATCCCCCGTGAGCCCGAACTTTCTGACCCCACGTTTGCGATTATCGCCAGCATGAGGTTTGGCGTCCAGCACAAAGAAGCTTCCCCACTCCCGTGGACGGATTCGACAACAACTGATTGCAGAAAAGGGCACCGATGACCCGGACATCTGCGCCCGCCCTCTGCAGATACCCGACAGTTGAACGACCGCTGAAAACGAGAAGCCTGGAGCACAAAGTAAGAGAAAACAAAGCAACGCGCTCCCGCGCGCGCGCGCAACGAGACCCCGAACCAACCCCAACATCAGGAGCTGGCGGATGTCTGCGTGATCGGGCATGGGGAGACTGAACAAATGTGCGAAACAATTGAGTGTCACGACGGGGCAGAGCGGAAGTGAAAGTGGTAAAAAAACGCAATTCGATAAACCACGCGGAGGCGGCGGCGAGATTGTGAGGTACGCGGGAACGTGGCGCCCCGCGTTCTGCCTGCGCGTTTCTTTGCGTCGATGGCATTGGCCCGAGAACGCTGGAAATCGTCGTTGTGGCCACAGCGGGGCTTGCAGCGGCACCCGTGGCTCATCTGCGACTAGAACCTAAGCGCGCGCGTCGTTCTAGTAAGTGTGTGTGTGTGTGTGTGTGTGTGTCTGTGTCTGTGTCAGTGTCTGTGTCAGTGTCAGTGTCTGTGTCTGTGTCTGTGTTTGTGTCTGTGTCTGTGTCTGTGTCTGTGTCAGTGTCTGTGTCTGTGTCTGTATCTCTGTATGTATGTATGTATGCATGCATGCATGCACGCATGCATGCATGTATGTATGTATGTATGTATGTATGTATGTATGTACGTACGTACGTACGTCTGTATGTATGTATGTATGTATGTACGTATGTCTGTGTATGTATGTATGTATGTATGCATGCATGCATGCATGCATGTACGTACGTACGTACGTACGTACGTACGTACGTATGTATGTATGTATGTATGTAGGTATGTATGTATGTATGTATGTGTAGTATATGTATGTATGTATGTATGTATGTATGCATGTATGTATGTATGTGTGTGCATGCATGCATGCATGCATGCATGCATGCATGTATTATGTATTGTGTATATGTATATATGTCTATATGTCTATATATATATATATATATATATATACATAGCCCAACACGATCAAACCGATAAACCCGATCAACCGATATTTCGTTGATCGGTTTATCGGTCGATCTGCCGATCTGCCGATAAACCGATCAACCACTAAACCGACTCATCGCATGCGTGCCCGAATCTCAGCACAGCTTGGCTTTATCAGTTTATCGGTTTATCGGTATATCGGATGTTTCAGTTTATCGGTTGATCGGTTGATCGGTTTATCGGCCCGGCGTTGTCGTGGTTGTCCAATGGGTAATCCTTCGAAATTATCTCTCCTCTTCCTCCTAGTCCTCCCCTTCCTCTTCCTCCTAGTCCTCCTCCGCCTCCGCCTCCTCCTCCTCCTCCTCCTCCCTCTTCCTCCTCCTCCCTCCTCCGTTCCGATCCTCCCTCCCTCCCTCTCCTCTCCTCCCTCCCTCCCTCACTGGCCCCGACGCCCATGGTTCTCCTAGTCCTCCCTCCCCCTCTTCCTCCTAGTCTCCTCCGCCTCCCCTTCCTCTTCCTCCTAGTCTCCTCCGCCTCCCCTTCCTCTTCCTCCTAGTCCTCCTCCGCCTCCGCCTCCTCCTCCTCCTCCTCCTCCTCCTCCTCCTCCTCCTCCTCCTCCTCCTCCTCCTCCCTCCTCCGTTCCGATCCTCACTCCCTCCCTCTCCCCCCTCCCTCCCTCATTGGCCCCGACGCCCATGGTTCTGCGCGCACAGGGCCGCGGCCCCCGTGAGCCCCTTCTCGGCGTTCCAGCTGACCACCATTGCTG